TTCAAAGCTATGGTTCTTCCAGTAGTCATGTATGGATGTGAGAGTTGGACCATAAGGAAGTCTGAGCACCGAGGAGTTGATGCTTTCAATCTGTGATGCTGGAGAAGACTCTTGAGAGTTCCTTTGACAGCAAGGAGATCAAACCAATAAATCCTAAAGGAAAGGAATTCTGAATATTCATTGGAAGAACTGATGCTGAAGCTGAAGCTCCAATACTATGGCCACCTGATGGAGTTGACTCACTGGAAAACACCCTGATGCTGGGAAAGGTTGAAGGCAGAGGAGAAGAGGACAGCAGAGGATGAGATGGTTGGATGGCATCATCAACTCAGTGGACATGAGTGAGCAAACTCTAGGAGATGGTGAAGCACAGGGAGGCCTGGCATGCTGCAGTCCATGGGGTCACACAGAGTTGGACATGACTAAGCAACTGAAAAACAACACTGATGAGAAAGACATCTTTTTTGGTGTTAGTTCTAGAGGTCTGCATAGAACCATTCGGTTTCTTCGGCGTTAATGGTTGGGGCATAGACTTGGACTGCTGTGATTTTGAATAGTTTGCCTTGGTAACGAATCGAAGTAATTCTGTTGTTTTTGAGTTTGCATCTAAGTACTGCAGTTCAGACTCTTGTTGACTGTGAGGGCTACTCCATTTCTTCTAAGGAATTCTTGCCCACAGTAGTAGATATATGGTCATCTGAATTAAATTCACCCATCCCAGTCCATTTTAGTTCACTGATTCCTAAAATGTCGATGTTCACTCTTGCCATCTCCTGTTTGACCACTTCCAATTTACCTTGATTAATGGACCTAACATTCCAGGTTCCTATGCAATATTGTTCTTTATAGCATCAGACTTTACTTTCACCACCAGACACATCCACAACTGGGTGTAGTTTCTGATCAGCTCAGCCTCTTCCTTCCTTCTGGAGCTATTTCTCTGCTCTTCTCCCATAACATATTGGACACCTACCAACCTGGAGGGGGTTCATCCTTCAGTGTCATATCTTTTTGCCTTTTCATCCTGTTCATAGGGCTCTCAAGGCAAGAATATTGAAGTGGTTTGCCATACCCTTCTTCAATAGACCATGTCTTGTCAGAACTTTCCACCATGACCCACCTGTCTTGAGTGGCCCTACATAGCATTGCTCACAATTTATTAAGTTAAACAAAGCTGTGATCCATATGATCATTTTGGTTAGTTTTCTGTTATTGTGGTTTTAATTCTGTCTGCCCTCTGATAGATTAGGATAAGAGGCTTGTGCAAGTTTCCTGATGGGAGGGACTGGCTGAAGAGAAAACTGGGTCTTGCTTTGGTGGGCAAGGCCATGTTCATTAAATATTTAATCCAATTTTCTGCTGATGGGTGGGACTGTGTTCCCTCCCTGTAGTTTGGCCTTGATGACAAACCATGGTAGGGGTAATGGTGACCTCCTCCAAAGGGACTTATGCCAGCACTCTGTGCCTCCCAGGACTGCTGCTGTCAGTGCTCCTGACCAGCAGCAGGTCACTGTTGATCCATTCCTCTGCTGGAGACTCCCAAACACTCACAGACAAGTCTCGCTCAGTCTCCTGTAGCATCACTGCTCCTTTCCCTTGGGTCATGATGTGTGCAAAGTTTTGTTTGTGCCCTCCAAGAATTTCTGTTTCCCTAGTCCTGTGGAAGTTCTGTAATCAAATCCTGCTGACCTTCAAATTTAGAGTCCCTGGGAATTCTCAGTCCATTTGCTGGATCCCTAGGTTGGAAAGTCTTGTGGGGCCTAGAACTTTCACAACAGTGTAAGAACTTCTTTGGTATAATTGTCCTCCAGTTTTATTTGTATAATTGCTGAAACCTGGGATCAACCCAATGTCCCTTCAACTGGGGAATGGATAAGCTAATGATGGTACATTCATACAATGGAGTGTAACTCAGTTAAGGAACTATTAAACCCAACAACGTAGATGAATCTCAAATGTATTATATGCTTAGTGAAAGAATCCTGTCTCCAAAGGCTCCATATTGTATAATTCCATTTATATGACATTCTCCAAAAGATAAAACTATAAGGAGAAAGAACAAATCAGGGTTGCCATGAATCAGAAGTAGGGAAGTTTTTACTATAAAGTAGCCAGTATGAATTTGATAGGGAAGGGCAGAGGGTAATGGAACAGTTCTGTACCTTAACTGTGTTGGTTACACAACTCTATGCATTTGTCAATGCTTATTGAACTGTACACCAGACATTAGTTATTCTATGTAAATTTTTTAAATAAAAAAGTTTAAAACATAAAGCGTAAAAGAGCTTCCCAGGTGGCTCAATGGTAAAGACTCTGCCTACCAATGCAGGAGATGCAGAAGACATGGGTTTGATCCCTGGGTTGGGAATATCCCCTGGAGAAGGAAGTGGCCACCCACTCCAGTATTCTTGCCTGGATAATCCCATGAACAGAAGAGTCTGGCAGGCTACAGCCCACAGAGTCGAAAACAATTGAACACGACTGAGCACACACACACTGTGGCAGTGGCATAAAATAAGCCTGCATGCTGTATGATGACATGACATGTATTTTTACATGACATTCATGCTAAGGCAAAACCATAGGAGCAGGAAAAAAAAAAAAAGATCAGTGGATCTGAAGGTAGGGGTAGGGATTGACTACAAAGGGTTCCGAGAGTTTGGAGGTGATGGAAACTATCACGTATCTTGACAGTAATGGTAGCTCACTACTGTATATATTTGTGCAAACTCACAGAACTTACACTATAAAGGGTAAACTTTATCATATATAAATTATACTATTAAGGCAAGAGGGAAAAGACTAGAGAGACATTTTAAAAAACCTGTAGGGATCTCCCTGGTAGTACAGTGGATAGAAATCTGCCTAGCATTTCAGGGAACATGGATTTGATCCCTGGTCTAGTAAGATTCCACATGTCACAGAGCAAGTTAAGCCTGTGCACCACAACTACCGAGACTGTTCTGCAACTACTGAAGCCCACAAGCCTAGAGCCTGAGAAGCCACTGCAATGAGGAGTACACCTCACTGGCCACAACTAGAGAAAGCATGAGCAAAGCAATGAAGACCCAGTGCAGCCAAAAATTATATTTTTTAAAGTTAGAAATTATTTAAAGAATTGTGATATGCTGTAGAAAATCTGGAATCCCACATTCTTATCCTGGCATGAGTACCTTAGTTCTTCTGTTTTGACTTGGACCAAATTTTGTTCCCTTACTGTTTCTTCCTTATCAAGATACCTATTTCTAGTACTTAGTTACCAGTATCTCTCAGGAGCACTAGAAAAATTTATGAAGTTAAATTATGAATTGTCATATGGTTATTAAATGACCTTAACTGTCCTGGTACCCAATTTTTCACTGTAGCACTATTATCTTTCAGGAGAGTTTCCTAAGGTAGTGTGAATTAAGTTGGCCCCCATTAAAGGATATTTGGAGCCGAATTTTAGCAAGACTATTTTTAAAGCCAAAAGAGAGAATATATTTAAAATTTGATTAACAGAGGCTGGCACACCATAAGTACTTAACGTTAAGGAGGCAGTACAATGCAAAGTAAAGGGCCTGGCATAATTTTGATCACACCTAGGTTCCAATATACATGTATGTTGTCTTGCGTACTTCCTGACAACTTTAAGCCTACTTATCTTTCATATAGAGACTTCCCTGATGGCTATATGGAGAGACTAACCTCTTACTGGCAAATTGCATTGAAGGTTAAGGGAGGAATCAGGGTACTGTGCTCAAGCAATATGTAATTCTCTCCTCTGGCTGTCCCAGAATGCAGGAGCGATCTACACTTCCCTGCCAATCATCCTGCAGCCAAGGGCTCATCAGTCCACTACATGGTTCTAGTCTTAGGATTTGAATAGGTAAATTAGGGGGTGACAGCAAGAGGCAAGGCTAAGCTGTGAATGTGGTTCCAAAGACGAGGATGTGGAAGTTTGGGGGTGAGGGGCAGACTGCAGTCTAAGACCCATTCCCTTCAAATGTGTCCAGTCTCTGGTAGACTGCTGGGAACTAAGGTCCTAAGCATGACTCAAACAAGCTCCAGTAAAGCAAGATTTGTGTTTCTGTTGCCATCATTTACCCAAGTCCCTTACTGAGGAATGTTGACACTGCCTGAGCCTTTGTCTGATAGAGCAGCCTCCTCCAAAAGAGGTAGCTAATAGTTTTAAGGGGTATAATGTTTAGAAAACACTGAGAAAGGAGTTAGTAGCTCTTGAGGATGCAGCCTATGAATAAATGACACCAGAACTCTTTTGAATCAAATGCTGGTGCTGGGTGAGACATGGTGACACAAGGACGGGCCCAGCCAGAGTACAATCAATCAGTTCAAGGAATTCCAACTCACTCTGCCCAGAAATGCCCCATAACAAGCACCTACCAACAGGTGCCTTATTTTCCCTATGTGAACAAGCAGTGCTTACCACACCTGAAACCAGCCAGGCTTCTGTGTTGTCTTCTTTCCTCTATCCTATCCCTAGATCCTTCCAGAGTCTCAGAAGGCTCATCACTGTTCCCTTTACTCCCATGGCCACAGCAAGGATCTGTGGACTTGGGTGGGAGGAAGATGTGTGGCCTACAGCCCATTGTAGGGATGTCTTACTGCTGAGCTCCGTTGTGGACTGGTAGAGAAACCATCACACACACACCCCCAAGGAATCCCCAGATATACAGCAGCCTAGCCTCTAGTTGCAGTCTCCAAGAGGGTTTTGTGAGGGGTCGGCCTTCCAACCAATCCAACCTATAAGGTGGAGGATAAATTGTTGGCATAAGGGATCTTCTGATTATTTTTTTATTTCTCTTGTAAACAGAGTAGGGGTTAAATAAAGGTATTAGGTTTTTCAGCTTCAGACACTTGGGACCTTTTTTTTTTCCTGGAGAAAGGAGGGAAGTGGGTGAGGGGTTCTTTTAATATGCAGGTGCTTCAGGGAGAAGCAAACCATTTCATCTGTTATTTCCATTGGAACTGGAGTTGGAGAGGGAGGTGAGATCAGTGGATCAGTCACCAGCACTGTCATCAGCATTGCCAGAGAGGTCAAGAGCAGACATCATGGAATCAGACAGCTTGCTGGCAAGTTTATCTGCAGATGGAGAAAAAGAGGAAGTCATTTGGTGGTTGGCTTGCCAACAGAAGGCTTGCAGGAGCTAGGCTACATTTATCTTTGTCCACACCAAACTCCCAAACTGGCTCCCTAACTGCCTACCATCAACACTGAACAAAACAACTGGTGGGCTACTGGCAGCCCACTACTGAATCTCACAGAAAGACCCATTTGTCTACCTGTGAAATGATCACCCCAAAATAGCCTGTATCTCAGAGTCACACTACTGAGCTTCAAGTATTTTTATCTCTTCCTAGTATCAAAACAGCTCTTTTCTTTTACTGTGTTGAATTCAGCACTCTGCCATCAGCAGTGCTTTGTTAAGACCCCCAAAGCTCTTACAGCAAACCAGCAGGACGGCAGTAGGGGCTTTGAACCTGAATGCTCACCTCCAGCCTTCAGCCACACCCTATTATTCCTTGGGATTTTCCTCAGACATAACCTCCTCAGGAAGCCTTCTCTGATCACCTCTATCCCACCACAACCTTCAGGCTGGGTGAGGTTCCCTCATTTTGTTTTCTGTCTTCATGGTGATCACTTTGTGTTCCCAATGTCTGTTTTCTTATCTCCTCCTCACTCCAATAAGACCAGCAGTTAAAGAGCAATTAACCTCTGTATTCCCAGGACTCAGTGTAGAATCAGGCCAAGAGCAAATGGTTATGAACATAGTCTAGTTCAAAGAACAGGGCTTATGGGATCAATCAATCCTAGGTTCACATTTTGGCCCAAATACTTGGAGTTTCTGGGACCCAGTTTCCTCACTTACTGAATGAGAATAAGACTTGCAATGAGTTGGTGAAAATTAGTATAGCATGAAGACCTAAGTGGACTGGCCACACAATGGACCACCATTAAAATAAAGGAACTTCTTTTGTGAATTGATGGGGAGATATCTGTAATATATGTTGAGTGGAAAAATGATGTGGCAAATTGTATGTTCCAGAGACTAACATTTGTCTAAAAAACAGAACAAGGAATATATAGATATTTGTCTGTAAACCTACCCCAGGAAATGAGATACAAGAAATTAACTGGTTGCCTCTGGGGGGAGGCCTGGAACTAGGGGACTGGAGGAGACTTTAATGTATATCCTTTTGTACCCTTTGGATTTTGAGTGTTTTATCTATAGATAAAGTAAACATATGTATGTAGCCTGAAAGTTTCTTAACACATAGAAAGCAATGATAAATAAATGGGCTATTTGATACATAAGACTAGGCCAGTGGTTCTCCAAGTGTGGCCCCCAGAGGAGCAACATCAGCACTGACTAGGAACCAGTTAGAAACACAAATTCTCAGCCCTCACCAACAGCCAACCTACTCAACTAGAAACTCTGGGGGTAGGTCCCAGAATCCTGTGTTTTAATAAACCTCCAAGTCACTTCTAAAATAAGCTACTGAAGTTTGAGGACCACTCTGCTAGCAGGTGATCCTCCTAACCCATTCCTGCCCCTTAATCCTGGCAGAGGGTTAGATACATGGAGATGCTCATTTACAAGCCCTTAATTAAGGCCTCAGGTAGTTCTTTTTTGGAGCACAGGAGGGTGGTCAGGTCCTCCCACCTGCACGCTTCTGGATCTTCTTCTTATTCTTCAGGGCAGATGCCAGAGCCTGGCCCTGCTGCAGGGGGTCTGTCTCCATGATCCTCTGTGGCACTGGGCGGCGGTCCACTGAGCAAACACCCACCATGCTATTGTTCCTAGGCTGAAGGTCCACATTGCGCTTAGCCCATCCCATCTGATGACAGTTTGGATTGGTGCAATACCCAGTAAGATCTCCAATCTGGGGAAAGTGAGGACAACAGTGAGGTCTGGGCCCCCAAAATAACCCCAAGGACTTCTGCAAAGGAGGTAGGGACAGGCTTGCATTAAGAACAGGAGTCTGGAGTTACAAAGAACGAACCTTCAAGTCTGGCTCTACCACAGATTGGCAGGTGCTTAGTTATTCTTTCAGCCACAATTTGCTCATCTGTCAAATAAGGGTGGGCAGTGGGTAGCTTGCCTGGCTTTTACAAGAATAAAATGAAAATGTAGAACTACTTGTCAATGACAATTGGTATTACAACGATTCTTTGTTCAAATGACCTTTTAAGGTCTTACTAAATTTAACAAATATGTTCCAACATCTATCTTGTGCCCAGTTCTGTACGGGGAAATGCTGGAGAAATGATTCACATGTACACCCATCTTTGGGAAGCAACCAGGCTAAAAAGGAAAAAACCCAACCACATCACAAGTTAGAATATGGTAAGTGCCCACCAAAGATATGCAGCCTAAGTGACAGAGGCTGAGGGCATGGTGGTGGTCAACATACTGTGGATGGAAGGGTCATTCCTGACTGAACACTGGAAAGCACAGAGTACCCAAAAGGGTATCTACTGGGCTGGAATAGAAGGTACACAGGGTCAGTAAAACATAATATTGACAGAAAGCTCACTATGTGCCAGGTACCTTTCTAAGCACATACATGTATGTGTGTCATATACATACATATGAATATGTATACATGTACTCACACACACGTACGTATTAACTCATTTAATACTGGCAACAATGTCTTTGACAAACAAGGTAACACAGCTAGTAAGCAGTGGAATAAATCAGAATCCAAGCAATCAGAATTCTATATGTATGACTACCTACTACACTACAGAGGGGGAAAAGCAATGCTATAAACCCTACAACTCCGGGGTTGCAGGCAGCGGGCACCATTCACAACACAGCACACTTAATGGTATCTCCCAGAGTTGGACAATAGTGTCCCTACTCATGGCCCTGAACCTGAGCCTGGAACTTGTAATACAGAGCAGGGAACTACTGCTGGTCTATGAGGAAAAACGGTATGTTCTGGGTGCTTGGGGGATGGCCTTAAACTCACAACTTTAAACTGATTTTCCTATAAGCACTAGGGGGAGTTTTGAAACTATGTGAAAATGGGAATGGGCATAATTCCTACCACTGCCCTAAGGCAGGTCTTATCTCTTACAGATCACAGGCAAGAGTTTCCTTCAAACTCCCTACCTCTACTCTGGCTCCTTTTTTAAAAACCTGATTCTTACTGCAGTCACTGGAGTGATAGTTCTAATATATAAACTTGACCAAATCACTTCCCAGCTTAAGAAACCCTTCCAGATATTATGTAGCCATCAAAAATGAAAAAAATTTTTAAAAAGCCATCAAAAAAAAATCATATGGAACAATCTACACTATGAATTTGTAAGTGAAATAAGGAATGTACAGAAAAATACAAACAGCATATGACTATTTGGATTAAAATAGATCTGCTATCTGCTTTTATGTGTTTGTGCATTGAAGATGCAATAGCTCTGAAAGGACACTCAAGTCTAATAGTGATTGCCTCCAAGGAGGGCAGGGTGGCTGGAAGAGAGAAGCAGGAGAGATTTACTTTTATTGTATACTCTCTACCTTTTTTGGGGGGGGCACCCTGCACAGCTTGTGGGATCTTAGTTCCCCAGGGATTGAATCCAGACCTTGGCAGTGAAAGCATAGAGTCCTAACCATTGGACTGCCAGGGAATTTCCTACATTTTCAGTTTTATACCATGTACCTAGTCAAAATATTTTAAATAAACAAAATGGGAAAAAATTTAAACCCTTTGCCTTTCCTCCTCCCGCACAAAATAGCCAACTTTCAGTGTTTACCTATTACTCATGGTTTAAAGTCAATCTAAAGGCCTTCAGAGATTGACACCAGATTCACCCTTCCCTACCTCTACCCTGACTCCAGCCACCTCAGACCACTAGTGATTTCTGCAAAATACCATGCTCTCACCCTTTCAGGTCTTGGCACATGCACAGGCTGAGCCCCTGCCCAAGGGCTGCTGCCCCTCTTGCCCAGAGAACTCCTCAAATTTAAAGATGTGGCAAAAGTATCAGAGCCCCCAGGAAGACTTCCCTGGCTCACAAGTAGTATAGGTTAGGGCCCTTAGATTCATGCTTTCCCACCGTCTGCCCTGAATCCCTGTGTGTCTCCTATCAGTGTGGATATCTACGGCTTAAACCACTACACTGTGACCTCTCGAAGGGCAGAGACAGAGGGGACTGGTAGATGAAAAGGCTGAAAAAGCCTCTGAGATCACAGCACAGCATATCAACTTGATCCTGTAGGTGCTGGGGAGCCATGAAAGGGCAAGTGACCTCTGGGACCTGCCATATGGGACATATGTCCAGGTCAAAGACAACTGGAAGCTTAGGCTAGGGTTACAGGAATGGTAGGCCACAAAAACACCAAGAGCATCTATTAAGATTTAGGAGAGAGAAGACAGACTTGGTGACTGTGTATAGGATCCAAGATACCAGTTAGAGGGAAGGACAAGTAAGGGATGTCCAGGTTTGTAACTTGAACAGCTGGGTGGATAGATGGGGATCCTGTTCTCTAGGGCTAAAGCTGGGCTTGGAAAGCTGCCTGAGAGCATGCCTCCTCCTTGGATCTGCCATTGGTTAGCAAGGGATGTACCCTGACTACAGCCAGAGTGCCCACAGGAAGTGAAGGAATGACCTGTACCTCCCCACTATTATAGGTGGACTTCGTGGGAGCCAGGTGAAAGGGACTGACCATTTCCCAGAGCCCTTGGGTAGACAAGAGGGTTGCCATGAAGAAATAGACAGGTACCTTATACACGGTGGTTTTATTTTCCATGGCATCTGCTATTTTCACCATCGGAGAATGGAGCCACTTGATCTCCATTTCGAGCGGGTCCATGTCACCCAACAGCTCATCCGATTCTCCAGTGGCCAAGCCTTTAACACAATCAATAACACTGTCAGGGCCCTGGCTCATTTCTGCTACCAGTCCCCTGGTCAGGCCTCAGTGGAAAGGATATGTGGACACTGCCCAGGGGAGTCAAGAAGGAAGGCTCTTTTATTCCTGCTGGGAGGCCACATAACAAAGGATTAAAGGTGTGGGTTTTCCACTAGGGTACTTGCCTGCCGGTCTTAGAGCCTCAGCTTCCTCATGTGAAAAGCAGAATGCCACAAGCCCTGTAACACAGGGCTGCTGTGAATCACAGCAATGGGTGCCTGAAATGCACTAGCCTGAGACACTGCTCTATAAATGACAGCTACTGGGATTCCCTCCCCAGGACCAGGCCTCTCTCCCTATTTCACTGGTGCCTTGTCTGGAGCTGGCCTCTACTGCAGACCACAAATGTGTACATTGCCCTGGGCCCATACTACCCTTGCACCTCTTCTAAACTTTGCCCCATCTCCTTCCCTGGGCCTCTAATTGCTAATCATTCTTCAAGATTCAACACCAGGGCAACTAGGAAACTCTGATTATTAACCACTCCCTCTTCTCAATTTCTGGGACCTCAATCATTTGCTAAAGTGCATACTCACTGCCAGAGCCCCACTTGACCTCACATACAGCCCTAAAAATGTAAGCTCTAATTCCTCCCAAATGTCCACCTGACAGAAAAGTAAAGTTCAGAAAGAGGGCTGACTTGCCCAAAGCCACATGGGGAATATATTCTGAAGCAGGCAAGCCTCGTGTCCTCATTTGTAATCCAAGCACACTAAAAGGCCCAGAGAAGGAAAGCTACTGGCCCTCAAGAGAAACAGAGTAACTGGAAGCCAGGCCAGCCAAGACTTTCTCCACTACCCCAGAGTGTCCACAGACAGGACCAGAGAACACCGGGTACCTTTCTTGGGTGGGGTAGAAGAGGAAGGAGCTGCAGATGGTAGAATAGCTGAAGAGAATTAACGTCCCACAGGAGTTTCTGAAAGTCATACCTTTGTACTCCAACAAATAACCATCTTAATAACCGCTAATATTTACCAAGCATGTGCTATATGCCAGGCACTAGGTTTTACATATTAAATAAGTCTTCACAACTATCTTATCAGGTACGTGTTATCATCCCATTGTACAGATGATGTCATTGGTCATGGAGAGGTTAAGAAACTTGTGTAGCACTACACAGCTAACAAAACTCAGATTTTAATCCAGGCAGTTCATTCTTCTAACCACTCAGATACACTGAGCTGGAAGAGTCTTCAACAACAGGGCAAGAGAGCTAGTTTGAATGCCACATCTACCTGTCACTGACCATGTACCATTTTGCAAGTATCACCTTTCTGTGTCTCAGATGCCTCACCCACCAATGGGGACAAGGGTAAAAATGCAGGAATGGACATGCAATGGCTATGACAAAACCTGGGGCAATGAGAAGGGTTTTCTTTTTTGTTTCCTTTTTTAATTGAAGGATAATTGCTTTACAATGTTGTGATGGTTTCTGCCATACATCAACGTGAATCAGTCATAGGCGTATATATATATATATGCCCTTCCCTCTTGAACCTCCCTCCCACTTCCCATCCCATCCCATCCCTCTAGATTGTCAAAGAGCACAAGATTCAGCTGCCTGTGTCATACAGCAAATTCCCACTGGCTATCTATTTTACATATGGTAATATATATGTTTCAATGCTACTGTCTCTATCCGTCCCACCCTCTCCTTCCCTCCATTATGTCCACCAGTCTGTTCTCTATGTCTGTGGAGAGAAAGGGTTTTTGAGAGAAGTATCTCAGTCCACTCCAGGCCTCAAGAGATGGGGAAAGGAAACTCACCCTTCCTAAACACCTTACCATGTTCCAGGTACTTTGTTGATTTTTTTCGTATCTACTAAGAGCCCACAACCAGCCAACCCCCAACTCCACTCCACCACCGCCCTATCTTCCTGTGACCCAAATTACAGTTCTTCACTTTGTGGGAAAAGACATTAAACTTAAAGATGTTTAAAATTGTTCTCCCCAAGCCAGACTAGGGCCAAAGCATGGGGAGGTCAAACATGGGACCTGTTGTCAAGTGTTTGTGGCTCCACTAGGGCAGGACCAGTTGCGGGCAGGCCAACCCACTCAACCCTACTTACATTCCATGGTGTCTTCATTGGCTTGCTCGGTATCCTCAATGTCAAAGACCTCAGTCATCTCCTTAACGATCTCAGCACTGAGATGGGTAGGCAGAGTGTGGGTAGAGGGTGGGAGTGTATAGAAGCTGATCTTCCCGCTGCATTGGGAGGTGGGAAAAAACTGACGTTATTAAGACAACAAATGACAAATGAGGTCTTTGCTGGCGGTCCAGTGGTTAAGAATCCACCTGCTAATTCAGGGGACACGGGTTCAATCCCTGGTCAAGGAAGATTCCACATGCCACAGGGCAACTAAGCCCATCGCCACACCAGCTGAGCCTCACACGCTGCAACTACTGAAGCCTATATACTCTAGAGCCTGTGCTCCACAGTAAAATACTGAAATGAGAAGCCCACACACTGCAACTAGATAGTAGCCCCCACTCACCACAACTAGAGAAAGCCCACACACAGCAACAAAGACCCAGGACAGCCAAACATAAATAAATGAATAAATAAAAATTTTAATTGTATGTTAAAAAGCAAATGACCAGTCAAAGAAAGAATGAGTTTTCAAGTCAGAAACAGTGAGAGTCAACTAGAAAGCCCAGACAGTAACTTCTGAACAAGAGGTTGAATTGCTGGATAATCACTAGGCATGAGTTGCTGAGCAGGATGTGACCTGATGCCTTGGCCTTCCCTACCCAGGAAGTCAGGCTGCCCCTCTGCTGCAGTGAAAACAGATGGGCCCCCTTGTGGAGCCTGACTCCCAGAAGGCCTCACCCTTACCCCTACTCACCTCACCCAGTCAGCCAGGACAGCTTTGGCTGCCTGCTCCTGACTGTACACGCCCCCCTTCTTCTTCTTCCCCAAGCGGTGGGCCACTGCAGTCAGAAAGTGCTCAGTGGTCTGAAACCCAGAGACACCATAATAGCTGGAAATCTGGTAAAGAGAGGAAGAAATCATGAGTAAGAAAGAAGGGCAAAGGAGCAAGGCAGGGCATAAGTGAGAGCCCTGCATACCTCCTCCAGGTTGCAGCGTTGCAGGATGGTCTCCACCGGGGTCACAGGGTCCGCCAGCTTCTGCACGTGAATGCAATTGCGCAGGATAGTGCCCACCTCTGAGTTGGGTCCTGGGACGATGCCCGGGGCATCCAGCAGCCTGATGAACTTGTCCAGGTAGACCTCCTGCATGAACCTGGGTCAGGAGAGGGGAGATAAGAGAGGACATAGGACAGTGATGAGCCCAGATGTGTCTGGCATCCTCTAGACCAAGCACCCAGTGGAGAGAAGGAGTGTGACAAATGGCACACAGATGAAGGTGGAGAGATGCAGGGTCTGATTCTAGTCTGATTCACTTCCACCACCAGGGACTGAGCTGCAGGACCACACACAAGCCTCTGACTGAGCCTGTTGCTTCATCGAGGAAGCAGAGCTGCTTACTCAGAGCCCAATCTTGCATGACTGTCAGGAGGCTTCAAGGAGCTGTGGCGGGGGGAACACCCAGCTGGGTGCTTGGCCCAAACCCAGGGTGTGCCAGGTAAATGAGGGCTATTAATGAAATTCCCATGCCTATGGCAGAATCAGAAAGTGGTCCAAGATAAGGGACAGGGGTTAAAGGCATGGGAGTTGGGAAATGGTAGTGTGAAGGACCTGTGAAGTACGGGAGCAAGCAGGTACTTACTTGGTGACCCCAGGAACAGCTCCCACACTACACGCACGGCTGCGCTTCAGACTATTGATCAGGCTGCTCTTCCCAACATTGGGAAGGCCTACAAAGAAACAGCAGATAGCTCAGGGCAGGAAGGGTCCTCAGAAATATTTGGGACAGCCTGTGTGTGGGAGGCCCAGGCAGGGGCAGTGTGCCCAGGCCATGGGAAGCCAAAAACAGAGCCTGGCCTCCTGCCTTTCTGTCCAAAGCCCTGACTAAGCGCCTCCATGGCATTTCTATCCCTTTCCTCTACATGTGAGCACCCTGGCTAGATGTGTTCCTCTCACTAGATGTGACACTCACCTCCCACTTACAACCAGCTTGGGAAAGGTGCTGGATGCAAGGCCTCTGTGACACAATCCAACAGATGGTGAGCACTGGGAAGTGTCATAAAACAGAACCATCCATCCTGGTATATAATTCACCTGGCAGGGGATAGGGAGTGGGAGGTGGGGCTCCTTTGAGATGTCAGTCTTTGAGGAGCTTTCTGTCTGTGGTGTGTCCTTCTGTTTGGGCACCTGTAAGCGCCTCTCGGTCTATGGATGTCCTTGTCTATTTCTTACTCACTGGGTCTCTCATTCCCACCATTCTCTTTCTCTGTGTGCTAGAACTTACATGTGTACTATTTATTCCGATAGACGTGAAGTCTCTGTGTATCTTCTCTTAGCTGTTCTCATTCTAAATACCATTGCTTTTCCCATTTCTGTCTTTCTCTCTGTGTATCTAGGCAACTCTTTCTCTGCCGGTTTGTCTCACTTTCTCTCATTATGGCCATTGTCCTTTCTCTCAAATTCTCCCCACCCCACCAATTCTGCCTCTTTGTTAATTCCCTCTCAGCTCTTTCTGTATATGGTCCTTCTCTCAGTGGGCTTGTCTCTCTACATGAATCACTGTGTTTCTTTTTCTGTGTCTCCCTAGTCCTCTCTCTGACTCTATTTCTCTATATATACATATATATCTGTCTCATCATAGATGTGTATCTGTGTCTCTGACATGACTGTGTCTGAGGGTCGAATGCATCTGGGCACCCGTGTCTCTCTATGGCTCTGTTTGCTTGGAGGGGAGTTGGCTAAGTGTGTCGGAAGGACTTGGTCTGCATGTATTTTGCCTCTGGATCTGTATGTGTCTTCATATGTATGGATCTGTACATGTGTCTGTGGATCTATATGTGTGTATAGGTCTGGGTGTACATTCTTCAGTGTCTGCAACTTTGTTCCTGCTTCCTTCTATGTGCATCTCCCTCTGAATCTCTTTATCCCTGAGTCTGACTCACTTGTTCTTTCCTTGGGTATACATGTCTCCCTCCCTACTCACATGAGAGGATCTCTAGCCCTCTCATGTCTCTCTCTGCAGGTCTCTACACACATTTTTGTGATCATATCTCCCTCTGTCTGCATGCCTCTGTCATTCAACTCTGTCTTCCTTTTCCACTCCCCACCAATCCCACCATTTGGTTTTCCAGATATTTTTCTGTATCTATTCAGGTATTTTACCTTTTTCTGTTTCCAGCTTTTTCTCCAATGTTTTTTTCTCTTGGCTTCATTCCTTTTCCCTGCTGGACTATCTCTGCCTCTCTCAACTTCCCGGTTCCTTTCCCACCAGCTTTCCTTCAACGCCCTGGGTTCCAGGTTTGAGCCTCAGCTCTTGTCTTGTCTCAGACAGGGGTGAACCCTACAAGTCCCTTTCCTTTCTCTGAGCCCTAGTGTTCTTATCTATGAAAGGGAGATGTTCACCCCTCTCTCCCACAGCTCTGGTGGGATGCATGTATATGTGCTCAGTCATGTACTCTTTGCAACCCTGTGGAATATAGCCCACCAGGCTTCTCTGTCCATGGGATTTCCCAGGCAAGAATACTGGATGAGGCAACCATTCCCTTCCCTAGAGTGGTAGGATGACATGGGTCAACTCTAAGCCCAGCCCCACACATTTAGTCCATGGTTCTAACACTCTAACTACAGTGGTGATTCTGAGTATGCCTCCCCATGTCCACCAATCCAAATTACAGATCACAAGAGCCTTCCTGGGACTTCCTTGGTGGCACAGTGGGTAAGAATCTGCCTGCCAATCCAGGAAGATTCCACACGCCTCAGGGCAACTCAGCCCATGTGAGCTGCAACTACTGAAGCCTGCACACCCTAGAGCCCATGCTCCACAATAAGAGAACCCACCATAATGAGAAACCCAAGCACTGCAACTAGTGAGTAGCCCCCACTTGCCGCAATGAGAGATAGCCCATGCAGCAACAAAAATCCAGTGCTGCCAAAATAAATACCTTAAAAAAAAAAGGACCCTTCCTGAACAGCTCCTCTCCTCCCTAGCCAAAAGTAACATGAAGTTCCCAGAATCCTTTCCCCCAATGAAGCCCCTGCACAAGGAAGAAGTCTGGTACCCATAACCTCCCCCAAGGCCTTACCCACAACGCCCACACGGATATGGGTGCGCACTTCACCAAGGCGGCAATAGTTCCCCAGAACTCTCATAAGGTTTTCAGCTCCAAAGCAGGCTTTGCTTTTCAGCAGTGACTCAGAGGCTTGATCCACTGGCACACTGCAGCGATTCTGGAAAATGAGGGGTATTACAGAAGAGGTATTAGATGAGAGCTGTGGTCTGAGCGCAGATATCCAAATTTCAGGACTGCCTCCCTGTTATCACGAACATCGCCAGCATGAAGCAAAGGGCTTCTTACACAGGCCCTGAACGAACATCTGCCATTTCCCTGCTTCCACAAGGCCTATTTTTTCCAGTTTTTCCACCTCCAGTCTTCTGTCTCAGTCTCTGCCTAAACACACATCTCTTGCCTCCCTCAGCAGGAGCAGGACAGCCTCCTCGCCTCTAAGCAGGCCAGGTTTGAGTTCCAACTCTGCCTCTCACAGGTATGTGGCCAGCAAATTCTGATTCCATTCTCTGGGCTTCAGTGAACCCTGTCTACATGATGAGGACATTTGCCTCCCTGTACAGGGAAAGAAGAGATACTGTCCAGCCCACGTAGAGCCTACCTTCCCTTGATTCTTCACACAGGACAAGACCATTTCAGCCTCCATCTCTTTATTCCTGATGCCACCTCCTCTGCCCAGAATGCCCTTTCATCTCTTCCTCTGTCCTTACTTACCTACCATAGTACTGCAAAATAGAAATTGACTTAAATATCCATTAATAAGAAATAGGTTAAGGAGCTATACCCTTAAAGTGGAATACAGATAAAAGAAAAACCTGTTATAAAAGGATGCTTATCACATTTTTGATATCTAAAAGGTAAAAAATTATAAAGGAACTACCATGTTTCTCCCAGATGAACAGAGATTTAAATGCTTAATGATATCAAATATTGGCAAGGATGTAGGGAATTAGGCCCTCTCACACATTCATCTGTCCCAGTAGTGGGAAGATAAATTGGTATAGCCACTTGGGTGGGGGGTAGAGAAGGGAGGTGGGGCTGGGGAGCAATTTGTCAGTATCTAGGAAAATCTAAAATGCAAAGTACCTATGACCCAGCCACTCTACCTCTCAGTACCCAACCTATACAAACACTTGCTGACTAGCCAAGAAGATGTGTAAGGGTATGTATTATAGTACTGCTTGTAATGATTAAAAGAAAACTATCTTTATTTAGTGTAAAAAAGGTAGAACTCTATAGAAAGATCTTCAAGGGAAAAAAGTACACCTCAGGATGACATATATGATACACCCAAGCACTATTTTCTCTATATATAAATCCACATATAATATAAAGCACAGAAAAACATCTGGAAGGATACACACCAAACTAACAATGGTGGTTAATCTGGTGTATGGATAAAGGAGATTGGAATTAGGGGTAACAGTGAAAGGATATTCAAGTTTCATCTATAGAGTTGACCCTTGAACAACATAGGTTTGAATGGTGCAGGTCCACTTACATGCAAATTTTTTTTCACTAACAAATACTACGGTACTACATGATTTGGTACTATATGATTTGCAGTTGGGTGAATCTGTAAATGTAGAACCACAGATACTGAGGTCCAACTATACATGGATTTTCCACTGTGCAGAAAGTGGATGTCCCTAACCCCTGTTTAGTTCAAGGGTCAACTGTAATTGCTTTTACTTTTTCTACTTTTTTTTTAATAAGTAAGTTTTACACTTCTTACAAAACTGAAAAAAATGTCCCTCAGGACCCACTTTCTCTCCCTAGAAGCAACAAATGTTTCTGTACACTTTAATTTAGTCTGACATTGAAGACATATTTCTATGTTAATAACATAATTAGAAAAGAGTATAGCCCCAGGCTACTGTGTAAGAGGCTAGATGTTTCTGGCCCCAGCTTACCAGGTTTTTGACCTGATGCTGGGTACTGGCCTTGAAAGCCACAGTTGGCAGCTCATTCCTAAGGTATTCCAGCCACTTCTCCACAACCTCCTTGGGGACCAGGTCTAGGAAAAATAGGAATGAACAGGACTGGTAAGAACATCACCTCATGGCTCACTCCAAAGATGCAGCCACCCACAACCCAGGCTTGGCCCACTTTCTGACAACAGATATCTCCCTAGCCTGCCAGTCCCTGTCCAGTCCCCAGGTTAGTCAGAAAGGACAATCTAGTCTAGGGGACAAGTTGGCCCTCTCTAAGTAGACCTGTTTCTTCAAGGACAATGGGTAACCAGCTATATTTCTAGATGCCTTCCTCCCAGACCTGGGGCCCAGTACCAGAGGCCTCCCAAAGACTATTTTCCATTCCCTCCCTGGATTATTCTAGGTTGGGCCAAATGTCAAAAATAACCTTGAAAAGAATGACTACCATTTATTAAGTACTGACCATGTATGTACCAAGCACTTTATCATTAATTCTCACAATGATCCTATGAGATTGGGACAATCACAGCCCATTTCACACCTAGAAAAATGGAAGCTCTCAGGTGACATGACTTGTCAAAGATTCCAGAGAAAATAGACATCAAAACTGGGATGAAACCCAGACCAGAGCAACTCCTGAGCACATCCATGTGCTCTTCTGCCCCACCATCTGGGATCCAGCATGAGGGAGAAGAGGAACTGTCTACCACTGGCCAGGCACAAATAAAGCTCAAAATGGCAAAAACAGGGAACTGAAAGGCAGACAGACTTTAACTCCATTCTCAACTTCTGTTATATTGTGTGGTGTGTGTGTGTATGTTTCAAGTGACTTTACCTCTCAAATCCCTAGCTTTAAAAACTCAAACAACAATTCCTACCTTGCACTATTTTGAATACCACTGAGTTGTTGTGTCTCAAGGTTAGGTCCAAGTTAGTCTTTTAAGAAGGCTTGGCCCCTGCCCTGCTTTACCCAATCCTGTCCAACACCTACCAATCTTGTTCAAGACCAGGACCAGCTTCTTGTTCCCTTCTGCCTGTAGGACAGTCTCCTCCATTTGAAAGCAGCGGCAGCCCAATGGGTCCCTGGAATCCAGGACTTCCAGAATCACATCAGAGTATTCCACCACCTGCAGGGCAGGGAAGAGGGTAAGAAGGCAAGGAAAGAACTGGGCAGGAATCAAAAGGTGCATAAAAGAGGTCTTCATCTTAGGAAAAACAGAAACAGAGAGGAGACACGACTGGATTGGTGCCCTCCCTAAAGGGCCTTAAGAAATGGGCCCCCATACCTTACGGAACTCCTTGTAATAAGCCTTCCTTGTAGCCTCATCATCCAGTTGAGGAAACATATTTAATTCTTGCAAAACTTCCTCCTAAAGGAAAAAAAAGAGGATGGTCCAGGGGAGGAGAGTGAGAGCCGTCTTTGGCAACCATGGGAGACTGGGAGAGTCATGTGAATTCCAGCCCACCACAAGCAACAAAATCAAGAAGAAGAAGGACAGACCCACATGGTCCATGTGTGTGCCTATTTGTAAGTTTGTGTTTGAGTACCAGCTAGAGGACTGGGTATGCACCTGATTGTATAAGGGAGGAATTTAAGAGGGAGGTGTAAGTGAGAAAAACAATCTATGGGGAACATGGGATGGAGGAAGCAAAATGTGTACTTTATACTAGAAAAGAAACTTTGAACTAGAAAGCGTATATTCTGTGAGATGAGTTTATGTGCCAGAAATGCAGTAAGAAGTCCCAGAAAGAAGTGGACTCCTCTCTTAACTTTCACTTTACACTCTCAATCTTTCTCTCCTCCTGCCCCCAAGTCCTCCCGACTCCCAGTCCCCAGTCTTTGTGTTTCAGCTTGAGAGAAAGGACCTAATCAGGGCTCTCCAATCACAGATACAGCTCTTCACCTCCCTCTCACCCTCCCTCCATGTCCCTACCGTTTCCCATCCTCTCTGAACTGGTTCCCTATTCCCCCTCCAAAAATCTCACACCCTTCCTCTTTCCTTTTCACAGAGCAACGGCAAAAAATGCTTTTGAGCAAGCTCACACCAGATCTACTGAGGGGCAAAGATTGCTCTCTCACCTTGCGCTCAAACTTCTCTTGGCGTCGCAGGACATCCTGGCAGTAGCTTTCAATGGTCCTACGTCGGTGTCTCTCTTGCTCCCGGGCAGCCTGCTGCTTCTCCCTCATCTCCTCAACCTAACAAGTGACCATACAAAAGGGCTAAAGCTGATGAGGTCTGCAATCTAAGGGAGGGATGGAAGATCAAGAGTAATAGGGAGTAGGTGACAGAGGGAGAAAACAGTGTGACTTGACACAAGTGGGAGGAGCAGGGATACAGGGAGGGAGAAGACATGACAGCAAGAGATAAAGAGATAGGGGGTTTGAGGGAAAGAAAGACAAAGAGATGAAGGAGGGGAAAGCATGGCAGACACTAATACAAGGAAACTATATAAAGCTGAGAGAGATCGTGTCCTAGGCAGTGGGAACCACTTAGGATCAGAGAGGGGGAATAAAACAGACCCTGGGATGACAGAGGATGAGATGGTTGGATGGCATCACCGATTCGATGGACATGAGTTTGAGCATGTTCCAAGAGTTGGTGATGGACAGGGAAGCCTACCATACTGCAGTCCATGGGGTCACAAAGAGTCAGACATGACTGAGTGACTGAACTGAACTGACTGGGATATTCCGTCATTTAAAGAACACCAAAAGAAACTGGAGAAAAGGAAGAAGGACATCCAGGAGAGAGAGATGACAGGAAAACCAAAGTGACAGTGCTTCAAAAAAAAAAAGCCTGCATATGTAAAATAAGATAACCAATGGGAATTTGCTGTATGACTCAGGAACTCAAACCAGGGCTCTAGAGGGGTGGGATGGGGAGGGAGGTGGGAGGGAAGTTCAAGAGAGAGGGGACATGTATACCTATGGCTAATTCATGCTGATGTGTGGCAGAAACCAACACAACACTATAAAGCAATTATCCTTCAATTAAAAATAAATAATTTTTTTAAAAAGCATGGTCTCAAATGCTGAGAATTGAATAAGATGAGGGAAGAAAGCGATCCATGAGTCTGATGTCAGAGAACATGCTGGTGAGACTGGCAGGATCATTCCAGTGGAGCAGTGAGAACAAAAACCAGACAGCCATGAACTGGGAGGTGAGCAAATGGAGACACTAAATGAAGTATCAAAGCAACTGCCCTTTCTTTCCTTTCCACAAACAGCCTCAACAACCCTAACAATTCTGGCCTTTGCCCGTCAACATTTCCATGGACCTGGCGGTCAAGTCAGGCCCTCTCTCTCCCCCAAGGCAAAGGACTTACCCTCTTCTTCTTTAACTCAGCCTCCCGACTGGCATGATCATTGGAGTGGACAAACTGGGGAAAGGAGGCCACTTTGGTGGCTGCTTTCTTTCCATTCTGCTTTGCAGGCTGGATACCAAACAAGAGAGAAAAAAATTAAGAGTTAATGAACCCACAGAAATCACCCTTCCTGGGGTGGGAGGTGGCGTTAAAGCTGCTCATAAGTAGATTTGTGGGAGGAAAGAGGAGAGAAGCAAACAAAAAGGGCACTGTCCCCAGAGGTCCCCATATGACCAGAGAGACCCTTCTTCCCCTAGCTAGGCAGGGACTAAGTAAAGAATACCAGGAAAGGTCGGGGCGGGGCGGGTGGGCAAAAGTAGAAAGGTTTCCCAAGTAAAGGCCAAGGGAATACTAAATAGCTCTCCACGTACAGCCCTTGGAACAGTAGTAGCATCATCTGGGCACATATCAGATGCTGAGACAGACCCACTATATCAGAAACTCAAGCAATCTGTGTTTTAACCAACCCTCCAGGTGATTCTGGAGGGCTAAAGTTTGAGAACTTTAACCATGCTAAAATTTAAGAACTGCTGCTCTGATGCAAGTTGTATTTGTCCACAACTTTCCCAGCAGGACCAGGAGATTCAGGAGCTGGGCCAAAGACTGTTTGAGTCCTGCCTCTCCATGAGCAATAGAGACTTGGGAATTAAGACTCGGGTCCCAGCTGAGTTACTTGAACCAAGGAACTTTGTCATTGAGGGTCAGTTTATTCATCTAAAAAAAATGAGATAATGACAATCCATATCAAAGTAAACTAAGCACAAGGCAGTATATGGCTTGTAGTGGGAACTTAATAAATATTGCTGCTTCTATGCTGAAGCCACCCAAATGGCTTTTGGGAAAGCCAAATCTGCTTTCCAATGTGGTGCTCTATTTGGAGTCAACCAATATCTACTTGGTTTTGTGGGCCTCTTCTGGGGTGGGCAACCTGTTCCCAACCTTGTCCCCAACAATGGGTATACCTTACCTAAGAGTGGTACCAACTTACCTTCTTGCAGCCTTTGGAACCTTTACCTGGCTTTTTATTTTCTAAAAAAAAAAAAAAAAGCCATCATCCACCTATCCAACATGCTTTGAACCTTAATGGAGGTCAGGCAATACTGGGAATCTAAGGAAGCCTCAGACACCATGTCTCTAGGCACACAAGACAGACAGAGCTGGCAGCTACAGTGTCAGAAGAGGTACTGGATATTTCAGTGAATACCTGAAACATTATACCCAGTGCAAACTGAAATAATTCTTAAGGGAATCCTGTAAAGAGAGCAACAGGAACATGCACTTATAACTCCTCTCTTACAACTTCTAGCTGAGGCAGCGCAACAATTTTGGCACGAGGCTGAAGTGGGGGACTGGCAGCATGAGAAGGTGATCTGAGGAGTCCCACTCAGCTAAACCAGAGTAGATGCCCTCAGCCCATGGGGAAAGAACTGTCCTTTCTTGCCGACCCTGTTCATGCCACTGCCTCCCAAGGGAATTACACTACTCAGCCAAACTGTAGCCTCCCTTTGATTTAAGGAGAAGAGAGCTCACCTTCTACAATCACACCTTAACCAAGCCTAGGAAAGTAAAAGGCCTCTCCCCACTTCAATGAGAAATCCCTTCTGTCACCTCCTTCACAACTGGCCTCTCAGAAAGAATGGTGTCCCATAATTCTCACCGTTTGCAAAGGGGCTAAAAGAATTCCTACAAGAAGAGGTTCTAGAAGGTCAGGATATACAAACAAATATAGGAGCAGCTTGAGATTATCAGACAGAGGACAGGCTCCCCAATCACATCAGGTGGTTCATATCAAAGCAGAGTTACTGTAGGAAACAGAGGATTTAAATACTACTTATTCTTAAGGAGATTCAAGAAGATACTTCAAAGGAACTGTACAAGAAAAAGATTCCCAAAACTTGATATTGAATAAAAATTCAATCAATGCAGTGAAAAACAGAATGAATATCACTAACAACCAAATTAATAAGCCAGAAGATCAAGGGAAGAGCTTCTTTAAAACAGAGCAAACATACAAAGAAAAGTATAAAATAGAAAATGGAGAATGGACTCAAGACAGCTAGTATCTAAATTAAGAAGAGTTCCAGAAAGAGAAAGGATACAAATGGAGAAGCAATTATTTTTTAAAATACTAGATAAATATTTTCCAAGTTGAAAACAGGATTTAGGCTTCAGGCCAGAAAGGTGCATGGAGCATGAAGATTAACAACAACAACAAAAAGACACATATATGCCCTGGACATATACTGATGAAATTTCAGAGCCCCAAAGACAAAGAGAAAATCTTGTAAACTACCAAATAGAAGACATTCCCAGCAAAGGAGAGAGAAACAGACAGCCTTCTCAAAGCCACAATTCTGAACACCTAAGACAGAAGAATAATCATTACAAAGTAATGCGACAAGGGACAGTATTCCAAGTTAAATTTCTACAACTGACCAATAAGATCACTCTTGTGTGAAGGTAAAGGAAATTTTCAGATGTGGAAAGATTACCACCTGCATTCTCCTTCTGGTAAAATGACTTTAGGAAGTATATCAGCAAAAAATAAGCATAAAACCATGCTAAAGGTCTCACAACTTTGGAAGAGTAAGATAAAAATAGTTATTTTTTAACGTTGATAAAGTGATACAGAAATTTAGTTACACTTGATTTAAATATGAATGCAATTACCAACATAATTTTAAGTACTGGTGGAGGATTTTTTTAACTTGTTAAACTTTTTAGAAGTAATAAGGGAATAAGAAGAAACAAACAAAAATATAAAATAAGATGGTAGAAATCAAACCAAACATATTAGTTATTAACCATGAAAGTAAATGAACTGAATTTCCCTGTAACAAAAAAATCAGATCCCAAGTCTTTTCTTCCACAATATTCACATTGCAATGAAAAGAATGTGAGGCTTGGAATTAACCAAGTCTGGCCATTTTACTCAACAATTTCCATCGACCTAACTTCCCTGGAAAATGAGGGCCACGATGAAAGAAAATACATCACTTAGAGAGAGGAAAAAACATCTGCTTCAGAGAGAAGGAGGGGGAGGAGAAACAGGGAAGAAGGTAGGGGTGCATTCACCACTCACAACACTGCAACACCCAGGAGCCCCTGCTATCGTTCTTTAATAGCTTCAGAGAGAAAACAGCTACCATTTTTTAGCCAGCCAGAGCTAGGTTCCTGTTCTGGTTCAATAACTACCTACCTATATGACCTTGAAGAATTTTCTTAAATCTGAGCACCAATATTGCCATATACCAACTCTCATTGATATTCAACAGCAGAAGGTAGGGGAGATGCTTCATGGTGCAGCTCTCCATATCCTGGGCTAGAGAGATACCCTGGACCCAAATGGTAATGATAATGATTAAATCTAGGAAGGTTACTGAGAAGCCTAGAGTGTTCAAATACAATTTCAACTGCTGTACATTTTTGAATGGCTATTAAAAAGGAGAGTGTGTTTTATCATTTAAAAGAAAAGTAGTCTTAGACATCCGTCTCAACTATCTTCAAGCACATTTGTTCAACCTCCCAGAGACTTCCAAAACACTGATGTCACTTGGTTCTTCATTCAATGGCCACCCCATTTCCCTCCCTGTGCACCTTACACAGTCTGCCATTATGATGGATTACATAGCTGTGCAACCAATCACTGATGGCTGTAAATGTTTTAAATGTCTTTAACAGGTAATACAGTCATACAGTTCCAAAATAAAACCATGTCAGATACAGAAAACAAACTTACAGTCACCAGTGCAGGAAAGTGGGGGGATAAACTGGGAGATTGGGACTGACATATATACACTGCTATAAAAAATGGGGTTTCTCTGGTGGCTCAGACAGTAAAGAATCTGCCTGCAATGCAGGAGACCCAGGTGTGATCCCTGGGTAAGCAAGATCCTCTGGAGAAGGGAATGGCTACCCACTCCAGTATTCAACCCTGGAGAATTCCATGGACAGAGGATCCTGGCGGGCTACGGTCCATGGGGTCACAAAGAGTTGGACACAACTAAGTGACTAACACTTTCACTTTCAGATATAAACTAGAAAACTAATAAGAACCTACAGTATAGCACAGGGCTTCCCTACTGACTCAGACGGTAAAGAATCCACCTGCAATGCAGGAAATGCAGGTTTGATCCCCGAGTCAGGAAGATCCCCTGGAGAAAGAAATGGCAACTCACTCCAGTATTTTTGCCTGGGAAATCCTGTGGACAGAGGAGCCTGGTGGGCTACAGTCTATGGGGTCGCAAGAGTTGGACATGACTGAGCTACTCAACAATAGTAATAACAGTATAGCACAAAGAACTGTACTCAATACTCTGTCATGTCCTATATCAGAAAAGAATCTAAAAAAGAGTGGATATATGTATAACTGATTCACTTTGCTATACATCTGAAACTAACACATTGTAAATCAACTATACTCCAATAAAAATTATTAAAAATAAATAAAAACATGTATTCTCAGAGGTCTCCCTCCCACACTTGTCCCTAGTCCCTGCAGTCCTCTCACCACAAGAAACCACTTTATTAGTTTGTCATGCATCATTCAGTTTCTTTGTGCAATTATAAAGATATATTCTTATTTTCCCATTTTCTCCCAAGGAAGGTAATATACTATGTACTCCTGTCAGTAAGTTGCTTTTTTCACTTAACAAATCCTGGAGATCTTTCCATCTAACTGTTTTTCCACACTACTTCACTTCTTTCACTTGCCAGGGTTCCTTTGTATGCATATACTCTATTTAACCAGCTAATTATTGTCTTTTTCATCACTATCAATAATTGTTACCAATAAAAATTAATTTAAAAAAATAAAATAGAAATTATATTATCTTGTATTTAATGTTCTTAGAGTATAAACTAATTTTGTTCACTTTTCTTGTGTTGCTTGAAGAAATGATTATTTGTTTTTGGTACTGACATAACCAAAACCTGACTCTTGATGAAATTTTTATCATTATATAAAGTAAGTGAATTTTTTTTAACCAAGCCCTACATAGGCAGGGCCACCATTCACACAGAATACAAGGCCACTGGGTTGCACAATTTTCATCCAGTCTATCCAGTGTGCTATCCACATGCTATTTTCTCCTTGGGCGATAGCAGGATAAAGGCAGGGAAGCACAAAGTCTGTCCTACCACCCTTGCCTTATCTCTTATAAGAAAGAGTCCATGTATCATATTTGTCTTCTCCTTCTAGACTATAAACATCATGGTGGAAGGAGAGGGAATTGAGTTAGCATTACTGAGACATTCTTGTGCCCGACACACAGTAAGTGCCCAATAGCTATGCCTGGTCATGTTGCACCCTTGGGACAAAAAGATAAACCAGGAGTCAGTGAGAAGTTGAAGAGACAGGGGCTTCCCCAGTGACTCAGTGGTAAAGAATCGCCTGCAACATAGGAGCCGCAGGAGACAAGGATTCGATCCCTGAGACCAGAAGATCCCCTGGAGGAGGGCATGGCAACCCACTCCAGTATTCTTGCCTGGAGAATCCCATGGACAGAGGAGCCTGGTGGGCTATAGTCCATGGGATCGCAAAGGGTTGGACATGACTGAAGCGACTCAGCAGCAGCAGAAGAGACAGACAATCTACAGAGTTAATAGCCCTGGTTCCTATGGGTACACAGGCAAGTGTAAACCAAGGGAGGAGGTTAACAGGAGTAATTTCCAGAAGAAGTTATGTATAAGGTGAAATCTGAAAAACAGGCAAGAGTTATCCCATTAAAGGATGAGAAGGAAAAGGAGTCCTGAAGGCAGAAACAACAGCAATTTATCCACACTATTTCACAGGAAGAAAAATCCATAGCTCAAGAGATGTCAGACAACAGTTTAGTGGCAGAACACTGTATGCATCCTCTGAAGGGTTAAATTCCAAAGAGAAATGAAGGCTGATTCTTTTAAGCCAATACTTAATAGAGTGCTTATTATGTGCCAGGAACCCTTCTAAGTGTTCTTTTATTTTAATGCATTAAATCCTCACAAAAAAAGATCTTCACGACCCAGATAACAACTCAGATAATGGTGTGATCACTCACCTAGAGCTAGACATCCTGGAATGCAGTCAAGTGGGCCTTAGCAAGCATCACTATGAACAAAACTAGTGGAGGTGATGGAATTGCAGTTGAGCTATTTCAATCCTAAAAGATGATGCTGTGCAAGTGCTGCACTCAACATGCCAGCAAATCCTGAAAACTCAGCAGTGGCCACAGGACTGGAAAAGGTCAGTTTTCATTCTCCAATCTCAAAGAAAGGCAATGCCAAAGAATGCTCAAACTACTGCACAATTGCATTCATCTCACACATTAGCAAAGTAATGCTCAAAATTCTCCAAGCCAGGCTTCAACAGTATGTGAACCAAGAACTTCCAGATGATCAAGCTGGATTTAGAAAAGGCAGAGGAACCAGAGGTCAAATTGCCAACATCCACTGGATGATCAAAAAAGCAAGAGAGTTCCAGAAAAACAACTACTGCTTTGTTGACTATGCCAAAGCCTTTGACTGTGTGGACCACAACAAACTCTGTAAAATTTTTAAAAGAGATGGGAATACCAGACCACCTGACGTGCCTCTTGAGAAACATGTATGCAGGTTAGGAAGCAACAGTTAGAACTGGACAGGGAACAAGAGACTGGTTCCAAATCTGGAAAGGAGTACATCAAGGCTATATATTGTCACCCTGCTTATTTAACTTATATGCAGAGTACATGATGAGAAACGCTGGGCTCGATAAATCACAAGCTGGAATCAAGATTGCCAAGAGAAATATCAATAACCTCATATATACAGATGACACCACCCTTATGGCAGAAACTGAAGAACTAAAGACCCTCTTGATGAAAGTGAAAGAGATTGAAAAAGCTGGCTTAAAACTCAACATTCAGAAAACTAAGATCATGGCATCTGGTCCTATCACTTCAAACTCAACATCCAGAAAACTAAGATCATAGCATCTGGTCCTATCGCTTCATGGCAAATAGATGGGGAAACCGAGGAAACAGTGACAGACTTTATTTTGGGGGGCTCCAAAATCACTGCAAATGAAATTAAAAGATGCTTGCTCCTTGGAAGAAAAGTTATGACCAACCTAGATAGCATATTAAAAAGCAGAGACATTACTTTGCCAACAAAGGTCCGTCTAGTCAAAGCTCTGGTTTGTCCAATAGGCATGTATGGATGTGAGAGTTGGACTATAAAGAAAGCTGAGCACTGAAGAATTGAAACTTTTGAACTGTGGTATTGGAGAAGACTCTTGAGAGTCCCTTGGACTGCAAGGAGATCCAACCAGTCCATCCTAAAGGAAATCAGTCCTGAATATTCATTGGAAGGACTGATGCTGAAGCTGAAACTCCAATACTTTGGCCACCTGATGCGAAGAGCTGACTCATCTGAAAAGACCCTGATGCTGGGAAAGATTGAAGGTGGGAGGAGAAGGGGACGACAGATGATGAGACGGTTGGATGGTATCACCGACTCAATGGACATATGTTTGAGTAAACTCTGGGAGTTGGTGATGGACAGGGAGGCCTGGCATGCTGCAGTCCATGGGGTCACAAAGAGTCGGACATGAATGAGCAAATGAACTGAACTAAAATCCTCACAACACTATTCGGCAAATACTATTTCTTTTTATTTCTTTATTAAGTAGGAACTATTATTATTCTCCTCTTCCCCCACCCCACTCCCACCCATTTTGTAGATAAGGAGAATGAAGTTAAGTAACTTGCCCAAGGCCACACACATGTAAGTGGAAGAACTGAGATTCAAACTCAGTCTGGCTCCAGAGTCCATACTCTTAACCACTGGCACAATCCATGATACCGACTTATAGGTACAACTTATAATAAAGAAAAATGCTAAGCTATGTTAGGGTTACAGGCAGTATAATATGGTATTTACCACTATTCACCCACAGTCTCTTGATCAAGTCACTTAACCTTGCTGAGCCTTGGTTTCCTTATCTGTAAAATGTGTATGGGGGATAACATGAGGGAAAACAACAATAATACCATACATAAAAGACAAACTGAATGATCTGGCTTATACTGGGCAATTTTTAAAGCTGCCTTAAAATACTGTATTTATTAAAGCTTAGGACTGGGAAGTAACAGTAAAAGAAACTCACTGTGTCTAAGTTTCATCACGATGACTAACTTGAAAGCAGGTAGATTCAAATCTACAGGCTTTTGTTTCCTGTCGGAATGGAAGAAGAACCAATTTGAAGACAGAGAGGGGAACCACAGTGCCACAAGCTCCCTTCTAAGCCCCCTGAAGGCCAAAGAACATGATAAGGAAGCCCTAACAATTAGAGGAATTTGAGTGAAGGGGTTATACTGGCGCTGGTGTCTGGTATGGCTGAATATAATTATTAATAATAATATAGGGAAGGTAGGTGTAAACCTCTCTTCCTGGGTGGAGTCAGTGCCTCAATGCATCAGATGGGATCCTGGGTCCTCAATCCTCCACCCTGTATTGTTATATACCTTAGGTAAGGGACTAGCACTAAACTTCTCTACTCTAAGGGGAGAGGGGTATGCAAGGACAATCTGTTTCTACACACAGTATTTACTGCATCTCTTTTCCCCAAATAGGGAGTTCTATGTCTCATCTATCCTGGGAGTGAGGTGAGGGGGGAGACATATCCTAGGGGATAAGGGACCTCTGAATAGAGCCTCTTTTCTGTATGTCTATGTGGACTGAGGTCAGTGCAAAATCTTGGGGGAGAGGGGGAAAAAATCTGTGCCTGTATGTATGGCTAGGGTCTGTTCCTTGGCAGATTCCTTGACTGCAGGGAGAGCAGGATACCTTTTGTCACTCTACTCCAGGATACAGAGGAACTGGAAAAATTGGCACAGTGGCTGTGTGCATCTCTGCTGCATGGAAGAGGAGCACAGGTCTGTACATTTGTGTGTGTGGCAGGGCGGGGAGGGGGGGAACGGGGTGTGGTGTCTTGAGTCTCTTTACCCTAGGGAGGGCCATGGGATGGGACTGATATGCCTACCTCCACTACAAGATGACATTAGTTCACTAGTGCCATGCTAACAAAGGGGGGAATTATTCAGCTTCCCATGAACAGGGCCTGCACCTTGCCTGCAGTGGGCTATTCTAGACCTTTCCAGGGAGGTGGGAGGGGCATCATCTGCTTATCTTGCATACCTGTTGAAGTCAGCAGTGTAGTAATACTGAAGGAAAAGGACCTCTGGTTCTCTACATGGGGAGGGGGGATGCAGCTATAAATTCAATGGAATGGCCCTTACACTGGGGGGCGGGTTGGTTTCCTATGGGTTTTTTTCCCCTGGATGGAGAGAAAAAGGTCTGAGCTCCTCTACCTTGGATAAGGGGGAGCCCATATGCACTGCACTGTGGGGTGATCAGTGATGTCACTGCCTCTCAATATTGCAAGGCACCTCTCTGCTCCTTTGGGGTCTCTCCTTTCCCACAGTTGGTGATTCTAAATCCTTGGAAGGGCAGGGAAGAAGGAATGATCTGCGTCTACCTAAAAAGAAGAATAAATCTGAGTCCCTCTTCCCCGGGGGACCCAGAAGAGGCAGTTCTCTCTCTTCATTGGTTAAGGCCTGCTGCTGTTTGCTGCGGGGCATTTTTGGTGGGTCAAGCCTTAACAAATTCAGTAAGCCAGCGCCTGGGGAGAAGGTGATCAGGCCTGACTTTCCTCAATGGGGACTCACTCTAGCCTTGAAGGGGTACATCTGCGTGGTTCTCTGTGGGCTGAGACTTGTGCCTCGAAACACTTAGGGAGGGGTGGTCTCGCACTTCTGCAGGAATGGTCGCAGGGCATCAGTTAATTAGTTTCACAGGGGCAAGGTAGGAAGGTCTCTAGGTCTTGACGCTAAGGGAAAGAGGTTCACTCAACTGTTTATTAGCTCTTCTGTTCTAGTGGTCGGGCAGGGGTGGGGGTAAATACATCAAAGCTTCTGTCATAAGAGAAAAGGTGCGCCGAAGCGGACCTGCCAGTAGAAATCTGCGCGGTTCAGCCTCGTGAGGAGGGAAGATATATCTCTTTACGGGGGAGTGTCAATGTCGCCACACCTCTGGGGTGTCCATGCCCGTCTACACGGGAAAAGTGCAGAATGGAGCCTCACTACCCTAAAGGAGGAGGGCACTCCACGCTTCTCCACACAAGTTGGGTCTGTAACTCTCCATAAAGGGTGTCCAGGGGTCTACTGGGAAAGGGAATAGAAACCCACTTCACTATTCTTGCCTGGAAAATTCCATGGACAGAGGAACCTGGCGGGCTACAGTCTATGGGATCGCAAAGAGTCGGACACGACTGAGCGACTAACACACACACAGAAGGGTCCACGCCTATCTAGATAAGGTGGTCCGTGCCCCTCTACACGCAAGAATGAGTTTGGGCGTATGTCCACGTGCCGAGCAATCCCTGTCTCTCATCCAGGCCCTTCTACCCTGAGAGGAACCTGACTCTTTACGTCTCTGTTCCGGGGCTGAGGGAGCCTCTGGTTTCACCGCAAACAGTTGATCCTTTCCGCGCGGCCGGCTAGGTGAGCTCTCATCACGAAAAAAGAGAGTAGTTTCTTACCTCCACTTCCGGCGGAGCTCTGAGAAGAAAAGACAGCACAACACTCTTGGCCCAGGGGCTCCGCTCGCCCCGCTAGTCTTCGACTTCCGGATCCCGGTCTCGCGGAGCCGGTTCAGTACTTGGAGCGTCCCCGGGGGCGGAGCTTCGGATTGACGGTTCGCGCCCGCCCGTCCCTTCCCTGCGGCCCCACTGGCCCCGCCTCCCGGCTGCGCAGTAAGGTAAGGTTATAGCTGAGGTGGAGGCGGGGAAGAGGGAGGGGGAAGTTCTTCATCGGCTGATGTGGCCATATAACCTACTTGTAAGGCAAGTTCTTGTCTGCGGGCCTCTGTCCGGGCCTAAATATGTGTGTGCTCGAATCTTAGTGACCAAGCTTTCTCCAGGACCGCATCAGACAAGGGTGGGTGGTCGGTGTCTTTGTCTACAATGGAAGATGGCGACGGGCAGGGTGTGAGAAAATGGCTGCCTGGGTCACATGTTTTGCAGCGTATACCCACCTGAAATGACTGGCTACTCCCAGCAACCATCCCGGCGTGCAGAGCCCCAGACAAACCCTGAGGGAGCCACTCGGAGCTCTTTCTGCATTAGCAAAGATCCACGGCCAGGCCCAGGAACCGGACAACTGGAAGTCTGTCCCACCCATTTGCTTTCTTCTCCTCCTCCCTCCTTCCCTCAGGTTCCAGAGCGGCATCTGCTGGAGGGAATGGATTTATCTTTGGAGTAGGGGCAAGTGAGGGTTTCTTAAGAAGCTATCTCGGGGAACTCCTGACCTGGCCGGAGAATAAAGTCTCCCCGTAAAAAAGTTATTATTAGTCTGAAAATGTCTTCTTCCTGATAACTTAGTTCGAGTGACGGCTCTTCCTCTAGACTAAACTTTGGGGTGAGGCCAAGCTTCTCTATGCCAAGGATGTGTTCCTGACTCCCTCTGCCTATTCCTACCCCTTACATGCACAGGACTCAGTGCCACTACATCCATGGAAGGCATATAAACTCTTTTCCCTAGAGAAACACAACTCTGGACCCCAAACCAGCCCTCGCCACCTTCACCTTCCCTTTTGCGTTATCAAATTCTTTAAGACTTAACTCTTGTCGCTTCTTTGAACTTTCCCAGCTTGGTTTAAAACTCAGCACCTTGTTGCATTTATATCAGTATGGTAATCATTGATGTTGCTGTATCTCCACAGGAGAGCAAATTCCCTGAGACTAGGGGCCTATATTTTTGAGCCTTCTGCAAGACCCAGCACAAGACAAGGCAGGCTTCAGCAAATATTTGTTAAATGGGTAAGTTTACAGGCCTACACCACAAATCAATGGGAAATGGACATTTTAGTAGATAGCACTGGAAAATTTGGCTTACCATAACAAGAAAAAGTAAACTGGATCCCTATTTATTTCCACATGAGATGGTAGAGAATATCTTTGTGACCTAGGACGGTAGAAGGACTTTTTAAACAAAGTCCTAAATGCACAAACCATGGGGAAAAACTGTAATGAAGTCTTTGATAAGAGAATTGGTAATACTACTTCAGAAAACAAGTAATCAGAAAAAAATAAAAAGTAATCCAAATAGTTGAAGATGGCCCTGGAACCCAACAATTTTGTTAGAGATGTGCACATATATACCTTAAGTCGTAGAGAAATTCTTACACATATACACAAGGAGGCATGTGCAAGAATATTCATTGCAAAATAAAATTTTTTAAAGCACTAAAAAAAAGAGTATTCATTGCAGAACTGTTAGTAATAGAGAAAAAAACTGAACAATCTAAAAGTTCACCAAGAGGCGAATAAGTAAATAATTGTACACCCACACAACAGAGTACTATATACAGCAGTGAAAAAAATCGAAGCAGAGTTGGTATACCAATCCACATATATCTCAAAAACATAATTCTGTGATAAAATGCAAGTTGGGAAAGGATACATGAAGTGTGAGACCATTTATATGGATTTTTTTAAGCAAGAAAACAATTCACTATATTTTTTATCTATTATATAGATACGTAAACAATATTTTTAAAACAAAGGAATTAAACACCTAATGCAGAATGGTGATTATGTTGACTAAAAAAAAAATTGTCACAACCTGAAAGTAGAGAGTGTTTTATTTGGTAGGGATGTTTAGGACTCCCCGCCCAGGAGACAGCATCTCAGTAGCCCTGAGATTACCTCTGGGGAAGAAAACAAAGGAACAACATGAGAGAGAGAAATTGACAGGGACTTAGCAACTGTTTCTCTAATATTTTATCTGAGTAATAGGTACATGGGTGTGTGTTGTGTTATTCTTCATGCTTATTTGTATGCCTGAAGTAGTTCATATTTTTTAAGAAAGACTGTATCTATAACAAAATTAATGGTGTCTAAATGGTTCTCAAATTTGGCCAGCAGCAGAATCACATGGGAAAGCTTATTAAAATACCAATTGTTGGGCCCCACACCCAGAATAGTGTTTTAGTTAAATCTGTAGTAGAGCCCAGGAGTTTACATTTCCAACAAGTTCTCGATGATGATGATGATGAAGCTGCTGCTGCAAACCCAGGTACCACATTTTGAGAACTACTGACAGGAAAAATGAAGTTATCAATG